ACACCCCCCCCCCCCACCCAGTGCACGAATTTCGTGCACCGGGCCCCTAGTTTATATATAAAGATCTGAGTTCACATCGATACTAAAAACAAGCAAACCCGTAGTCACCTTCATGTTCTGGAACGGGAAGGAATCAAGCATTTATCCTTCCACTTGTGTTTAGAGTAAGAGTCAGGGTGGGAAAGGGGTGCTTAATTTTTGTTAGTTTGTCAGTCCTCACCTGCGGATATTTTCTCATTGATTTTTATTTATTTTCTATTTTTTATTATTTTTGTTGATTTCAGAGAGGAAGGGAGAGGGAGAGAGAGAGAGAAGCATCAATGATGAAAGAGAATCATTGGGTGGTTGCCCCCGGCTCGCCCCCTACTGGGGATGGAGCCCACAACCCAGGCATGTGCCCTTGACTGGAATCGAACCTGGGACCACAGGCCAATGCTCTACCCACTGAGCCAAACCAGCTAGGGCTTCATTGATTTTTAGAGAGAGTGGAAGGGAGGAGAGAGAGAGAGAGAAACATCGGTGTGAGAGAGACACATAGGCTGGTTGCCTCTCACACAGGCTCTGAACAGTGCTGGGGATAGAGCCTGCGATAGCGGTGTGTGCCCTTGGCCGGAATCGAACCCGGGATCCTTCAGTCCGCGGGCCTACAGTTTATGCACTGAGCCAAACCAGCCAGGGCAGAAAGTGGTTCCTTAGAGGAGAATCAAAGAATAACAGCTATGAAAGGAATGATGGAATTAAGGAAATAATGGATCTGGGTGGTGATCATTGACATGATTAAAACCAGCAGGTGAAAGATTGACAGGAACTTGACCGTCGATGAGGTAGGGCTGGCACCCCGAGCCCAGCAATCAACCCAGCACCCCAAGAAGAAGGAGACTTCCTGTACTCTCTGGCGTGAGGCAATAGGAGGGACCCAGCACCACCTATGAAGTAATTTTTGCCCCCCCCAAAAAATAAAAATTAACATGAATCTAATCAAGACTCTAAATCTAAAACTAGGAGTTTACAGGAAAGGCAGGGCCGAGAGGAACACGATAAATAATACCACAGAGACGAAACCAACCCGATCAGACAGTGGGAGACTCTACAAGATAAATGGTCGGGTTTCTCCCCCTCATAAATAGCATTTAAAAAAAAAAAATAATAAAGGAAGGAAGGAAATTGTCATGGATTAAAATAGATTTAGGAGGTATATCAACCAAAGGCAACATGGAGACCTCGTTTGGATCCTGGTTGGAACAATCGACTGGGAAACAAGACAGTTTGAGACGCTGTGGGAAGTTTAAAAGTGGCCTGGCTAGCCTGGCCGGCCGGCGTGGCTCAGGGGTTGAGAGCATCGACCTCTGAACCAGGAGGTCACGGTTCGACTCCCGGTCGGGGCACATGGGCAGATGCCCGGGTTGCGGGCTCGACCCTCAGTGTGAGGCGCACAGGAGGCAGCCTCTCTCATCATTGATGTTTCTCTCTCTCTCTCTCCCTCTCCTTTTCTCTCTGAAATCAATAAAAAAAATTTTTTTCAAGTAGATATTTTACAATAAGAAGGAATCGATGCTACTTTTATTGAGGGTGACAAGTATTGTGTTTATGCTTTTACTATGTTTTTTTACTCTCTCTCTCAAAATCTATTTTTTAAAACTAAAAATTAGCCTGGCTGGTGTGGCTCAGTGATTGAGCATCAACCCCATGAACCAAGAGTTCACTGGTTCTATTCCCGGTCAGGGCACATGCCTCATCTTTGATGTTTCTGTCTCTCTCCCTCTCCCTTCCTCTTTGAAATCAGGGAAGGAGGGAGGAGGAAGGAAGGGGGAGGGTAGAGGGAGGAGGGGGGAAGGAAGGAGGGGGGAAGGGGGAGGGAGGAGCGAGGCTCCGGATGACTAAGAATGGCAAAGTGTTGGTAACTGCCCCCCACCCGCAGGCCCCAGGCCAGCCAAGGCGGTGCCAGCAGGGGCCCCCCAATTGGCCCACCGGTTGCCCCACAGATCGTCCGTGATCGCCGGCCAGGCCCAGGGACCCTACCTATGCCCGGATTTCGTGCATCGGGCCTCTAGTTTTTCTATAAAGTGTGAAAATATTTCAAAATAGAAAGCTAAAATCGTCGCCTTGTTCCCACTGGTGAACAGACCTGCCCTGAGCCATTGCCCCAGCTCTCCCCAACCTGACCTGCCTTCCCCTTTTGCTTCTCTGGGTCCCGCCCCTTCCCAGCCCCCAGGCTCCAGTCAAGAAAGGTTAATGCCAGGCGCTCCAGGAGGCCCCATCCCGGCCTTTCTGTGGGGGAGGGGGGGGTGCAGGTTGTTAAACATTGTGAATGTCCCCCTCAGGCTAACCTTTCCCCTGCTGGTTGCACAAGCG